CACAATTTGGGCCTGTTTGGTGTTCAAACCGTGTATATATATATATATATACCCTTCCCGCTGCCAAATTGTCCACCCATATTTTTTCCTCGCACGTGTTTTTTGTCCCATACGCAGCTCGGCTGCAGCTAGAAGCTGCTACAGCCGGCGAGCAAGCAATTGGTATCCAGGGTGGGAACCAAGACCAAGCGTCCTTGAGGCCACATCGCTGTTCAGAATAGTCGTCCGTCATAGTCCCCTGAGAAAGGAATTGTTCGCCTGAGGGGATTTGACTCGACCAACTTGATCACCGCACCAAACTCGAAAAGACAAAGTTGCCCCTAGATCCCATGTGGGCGCGATTGGTCTCTATCTGTTTATCTCCGTGTTTGGGAAGGATTTCAAGCTCTACTTAAGCCCTGGCATTCACCTCATGGATTTGGGATTTGAGAGGCCTCGTTTTGGGCCTCTCAGCCTATCTCCTTGAGCCCACCAACCTGGGGTGGGCCAGGCATGACGGGCACGAGCTGCTCGCACATCTCTCTTCTGGCATTACATGGCTCCTGCCAAGATTATCCACGGCCAAGCTCTTACCCATGGCCCTTTCTTATATAGTATCATATGCACAAGAATGGTCGCAGCAATGAAGCACCATGCACTCTCATACCTGACATACTTAGCTCAATAGCCATCCTGGCTTCAAAAGGGAGCCTGCCTCCTGTGGGAAGTGTGACACGTTTCAAAAGCACTTCCCAGTGGGAGGGATATTATACTGGATTGTGCAGCTTCTCCCAGGCATGACTCAAAACAATTTCCGCCCACACTGCTTGCGGTGAAAGGCGCTTTTGGATTTTTGCGGGCAACCATGAGTGAGGAACCTGCCTATCTTCGCTAGCCTGAAAGTTTGCCCAAAGGTGCACATTTAGGGAAGAAGGTGCCAACATGGGGCAAGGCATCTCCAAGTCGAACCCTGCCGAACCCACGATTGTGAAATACTTTGCCTATCAAAGGGCCACCAAACAAAAAGAGCTGCAACACTTGCAAGAACTACATTAGGAGGGATAGTTTTAGGATATTTATTTGGAGGAACTACATATAGGATATATCCGATCTTGACTTGGATGTACCGAGAACATCTCGATGTCATCGGATCTCTGCGCAGATTCGCTGCCGCGTGGGCAGGTGGTCATACCCTTTGGATTCTCTGCAGCACGTGGACGTCTAAGACGTTTGGTGCAGTGCACAAGATGCCACTGGGTCCGGGTTCAATGGTCAAACCCTGCACCAGCCAAGGCCCTGCGAAAGTGGAGCTCACTTGATGAGAATGCTTTGGGATTCTTGGGCATATCACTTAAGGGTGTGTCTCATGGAGATTCCTGGCAAAACAGCGTCACGCGCCAAATAAAATCTTCCAGAACATCTACAATCTACGCAATTGTGCATGCAACACCCTCTCCCAAGCAGAATCGCAGAATGGTCCAAAAATGGTCCTAAAGTCCTAACGGACTTGAAGCGGGTAGGATATGAATATGGTAGGATGGTCAAAACAGCTGATCTGAAATCTGAAGCGGTTTTCACGGACGCGGGGCCTTCCAAAAGGCAAGAGGGTGGAAGAGTTCCCCTCAGAAGGGGTCAAAATCCCCGGGTTTCAGAGTCCCGAGGAAAAGACTCAGGTGCGGGAGAAAGGACACACCTTGAGATCCTTTGGTTTGTTCATAGGTGTGTTTTGGGCGCCTCCTGGTGGAGAGTTTTCAAATGGTGACTTGTCAGAATGTTTGTTCCTACAGGCGGCGATAATTCGCATTTCCATGCATGCCGCATCATGTTGGAAGATAAAACCAAATCCTCCCCCCAAATGCATGTTTGGCCTATGATTTAATCATTGAATGAGTATTCAATGGCTTCAAACGAACTCACTCTACAACAAGTGCCCGTCACCAGAGTTCACCTGGAACTCGAAAAAATGCTCATGGTAAAGACTTCCTCTGCACCTTGAACCAGTGTCGCAGGGAGCCTGGCAAAGACATGTCATCCAAATCAACACGTAAATGACCAAACACTTGTGCCTGAAGCCTGTAGCCACCATGATTACGTGGTAAACTCATGCAAAGTATTCAAAGATCCGACCAAACATTTTCAGCCAAACAAAAAACGCAGTTGCACTAGTGAGTGGTGCTCAATCCATGATCCTAGGTAGTGTCGGTTGGCCCTTTGTGGACATTCACATTAAACCGCATCGAATTGATTACAATGACTAAGCTGCACTTATCGCCACCAAATCTTGCCAATCAAATGCCCTTTTTTTACCGTCATTCTTGCCTACCAAGCACTCTTGGACATGTTTCCCACTACAACTTCAGTCAGCCAGTTTCTTGCCCAGCCCTTTTTCTGAACTGCTTTCCACCCAAAATCTCGTCATTTCGAAGCACCCCAAGCACCCCCCCGCCGGTCCCACGCTTCGGCCCACGCTTCGGCCACGCCTTGGCTTTGCTCATGATTCGCGTCCAGGCCCAGGAGTGCCAAAAGGTCATGCAACGTCTCAGCGCAGGCCTCGGAGAGCAGGCGCCATACTGCGCAGTCACTCGATCGACTTAACGGCTTAATGAACAACTCAAGCGGAGGTAACATGATGCCATCAGTTGGCATTTTCATGAACAAAAAGTTGGTTGGAGATTTCATGGGTTTTGCATGGTTTTGTGGCCAACATGTAACATGATCAAATTAGTTGGCTCTCTTTGCTGCATGATCCAAATACCGGGAGCACTACACACCTGCAACCCATTTGGAGGTCGCCACATCGACCCACGAGCACCGACCCCCACACAAATTTAAGGAAAAAAGCAGCTGCAGACTTGGATGGACGAGTTTTCCCTAGGGCTCTCACCACCTCCTGAGGTTCGGTGGTTTGGGGGTGGGTGGGTTTGGGGGTCCAAGCACGTTATGAGGATATGGTTGGAGCATGTTGGAGCCCTAGGGTTGGTGGTTTAACCCAAAAACGAAGACCTGAAAGCATTGCCCGGCCACGGTGAGTTCCTTCTTGTAGTCCGGGTTGGGAGATCCCAAGACCTGAAGGACGGAGCGAAGAGGACGGACCTGCTCAAACGAGGCAGTTCTTAGGTGTGAGAAGTGAAGAAAGATTGGTGGGTTCTTAGTTGAGGTTTGGAAGTGTGCATTGAAGGTCAAGATGTGGTGAAGAAGGTAGCTGCACATTTAGCAATCTTGATGTAGTCCATCCTAGGAACATTTCAAGCGTGGACTGGTTTGCTCCAGTGATTAAATGTGCATACATTTGCACTTGTCACTTGAACCAGGATGTATGTCTTCGGCCCAATTGCGGCCAAGTAAACATGAGGAACACAATGAAACATTCTGAGCAGGGTTCATGCTGGCCATGAGCAAAGCTCAACCGCCTGGCACACCCAATGTTGTCACAGTCAACAGTCGATTCAGTCGACGACGTCGGTGAACGGAGGCCTGGCCTGTCAGTGCACCATGGTATGATTTCCACTTTTATTGACCCCAAATGACAGAAAGATGCTCTTTCAGGAGCGCACTGCACGGGATCTACCCCTCCCCAATCCACATGATATATGATGTGTCTCCGAGTGTCTTCTTTGTCGGGGTAGCCGAGCCCGGGATCTGTGTTCACCTCGCACATCCAGACCTTCATCTTCTTATCCAACATCAAATCCATGCCGAAGATTTCCTCACAAAGGAAGTCTGTCTGTCTCTCTCTGTCTCTCTCTCTCTCTCCATATCTGTGGCAGGGCTGACATCTGAGACACGTGCGACTGCGGAAAAGCGCAAGAACTCAAAGTCTGCATAGATTGTCACTGATGAGACATGTGACAAGACTGTTCAAAATTCCAAACAAATAGACCCCAAAGGTTGTGACTCTGTCATCTTGCTTTGCTTCATTTTGGCATCAAAATCCTCTCCACCCTCCCCAACAAAGGAATAGCACAAGCAGCAGTCAAAAAATCATTCCCGCCTATCATTCCCTTTTAAGAGAGGCTTGGAGCATCTGTCCACTCCACCCTCTCACCTTTTGAAAAGCCTCGAAATGCTGATCTGGCGTGACTTTGAAGCGTCGCGAGATAGACTGCGCGATGTATTCGGAGGTTTCCAGCGCGATGTCCACAATCTGCTGCCAAATCACCGCCTCGAAGATTCAAACACGGAGCACGGAGTTTCCGTTGCTTTTGACCGAAAACACATGCCAAACCATCCATGTTTTGATGCATGGTACAATTAGTTCTAGACATGCATTTGCGGGCCATGTTGACCCTCATGAAGAGAACTCTATTCCTATCATGGATGGTCTGGGAGTGTTTCACTGGAAGGAAGGTCTGGACTGTCTAGACACCTGGAGATTTGTCGCATGTTAGGCGGTCTCTTCGACCAAATGGTGGATACATATCTGGATTGGATCGATCACTATCATTCAGCTGTCAGGACTTGCCATTATGGGACAAACATGGCAGGCTTCTGCCAACAATCCCAGCTTTCGCCCACATGGAGAGATGTCACCCAGCTTTCGCCCTATGGAAGGTGGGTAGACCAATCACGCTGGAACACACTATAGTCACTTCCGCCTACCGAAGGTACCGAACCTGGCCTTGTCAAAGTTGGGGTCCAGGCTCGCAAGATGGGCCATCAGCTGGCGCATGCGGATCTGTTGGCCCTTCCCGATGACCGGCTTCTCCTTCCGATGATGGACACCGGCACTGAAGACCAAGAATCCGAGGGAGGACCTTGCTCATCTTTGGGTCAGAGTGGGCTACAGGGGGTTCAGCATCGACAGAGTCCGGATAGCCCAGACCTCAAGGCATCCAACTGAATGGTTGCCAACTTATATACATCACTCGGTTGGTTCAGCTTACGAGAAAGAACTGATTATATATATATATATTGTATACCATATATACATAACACTTCACCGCCAGCTCTCCTTCAAGAAGTTGTCCTTGTTCTCTGCCACCGCATTGAGACCCATGTTGGTCACATGCACGGGGGGGTCAAAGTTCTTCCCCAAGGTCTGATCGGAGAGCCTGTAAGGCTTCGTCGCGAAAAGGCACTGCCCGTTCTCTTGCACGAATGCCTGACAGCTTTTGCAGGCAGAAACGAACAAGGATTGAACTTGAGATTGAAATGTGGAGCATTCACGCTGGATGAGACCAAACAGTTAGGCCTCAGCACTGACCTCAAATAGCCCAGAATGTAATTATCGGTACAGTAAATGAGATGTAATTCATCTTATCATTGAATCACTGTCACTATCCTGGCCTCCAGCGGTGACAAGTTGGTGATGACCAAATGGATCCTCATGTGGAATTTGTAGCCTCCGATAAGGAAAGGGTCTGCCAGGTACCTCAAACGCGCCACACCAAAGTGGCAGCTAGCAGGGCAAAGAAAAATCATCCACGGAAGCGAGGTGGGGGTATATCACGTGCGCGTGCACGGTCTCAAGCTCTTATGTCAAGCTTCTGCTTGTTGCCCAACGCCTCAACATCGTGCCCCTATCATGCCAATCCCTTACATCTCTTGCAGCTCTTGACGCACACCAGAACCTCAATCAACCATCTCATCCGCCCATCAAACCATAATTACTCTCCTCTGTCTTATGCCTTCCCCCTCTCTTCATGTAAGAGGCTGCTGCATGATCGACCTGCCTTTCTGGTCCTCTCTGAGGCCTCGCTTCAATGTCGTATCCGATGCCCACCACACGGAGATTCCCGCACCGCCGTACTCGTTCCGCGGCTTGCCGATCCACAAGCTCCGCGGCTGTACACGAAGCCTCAAGAGGCAGCTTGGTGTGGGAGGATGGGATATGAAGGGGATATGCTCTCTTTCTCAATTGATTCACCGATGAAATAACTTGTGGTGGTCGTTGAACATGCCAAACTCCTGGGACGTGGCCTTTTTCCTGAAGATTCATTTGGCCAAATCAACACTGCTGCCGGCTGCCATTACATCAGCAAGTTCACCGAACATACACATTTAGCAAACAACTGGCAAACGTTATTGGAGGGCACTGTCCAAAGCTACGATAAACATTGGCGTACTGAACAACCAAGTGCACCAAGTGACTGCTTCAGAAATTCAGCCTTGTCCTCCGGCAGAATGAAGGTCTTGGGATACCAAGCCTCGGTCTTCGGCAGAAAATCAGATCGACCGTGGCCATCAAAAGTGCCTATTCACATGAGTGTGCGCTCAACTCATGAACCCCTACAAAAACACTAAGCACAAAATATAAACAACATGTATCATAAAAACACAGTTGTCGGAGGATATCTCCCTATTCAATACATCACCCACACGATTCACCACCTCCCGCAGAGTGGAACCATGTCACCCCACCGGTCATTCCGCTGGGACCTGTGTGGCCACCAATGGCGACCAGGAAAACGCCCCTCAAGGTCACTGTGAGAGTTCGTGTGACTGGTTGATGTGTGACACGAAAACTACAAGAAAACATCCAGAACAACTCGACATGAAATTGAAGTCATGAGACTTTGTCTTTGAAGGCCTTGGAGAAGTTGGTCTTGAACAAAATACGCTCCGTCCCTGGGAATTTCGCAATCCGGTAGTTGCCCGGCTTGCCGGGCAGGTTCGCACCATACTCCGTCACCTGGGCTCAGTCGCAGGTGCTGCATGGTATGACAAATCGAAACACAAATTACAGTAACATGTGTGAAGAGATGTCGCGAAGAAGGATACTTGAGCGGAGGGAGAAACGAAAGGTAGGACAGCGGGAAAAGAAGAGAACGCGAGAGGCAGGAACAAAAACTCTGAGGCAGCGATGCCGGCTTGCATCCCCAAACGACAATGCAGGGGAGGCTAGACTAGATGGAACAATGACTTCCAAAGCTCTAGGGAGAAATCACTCCGACCCGGAACCACCAACACTTGCTTCACAAAACAAACTCTAGGTATTTATCCCCCCGGAGGCGACCTTTCGTAAATATAATTTCATATGCACTCTAAATGTTCAAACATATGCTCTCGAAATGTTCAAAAATATTCTTAGAAAAACAAACTTGCCCCATGGCTCAGATCATCGGTGAGCATTGAATCGGAGCATCATAGGATTTGAACTATCCTGAAACCATAAAGAGGCTCACGAAGACGTTCCCCAGGAGAGAATTGACGTGCTTCACAAAACAAACTTTAGGTATGTATCCCCTCGGGGAACACCTTTCGTGATTAGAATTTCATATGCACTCTGAATGTTCAAGAGGGTTTCAACTATCCTGAAATCATGAGAGGCTCACGAAGACGTTCTCCAGGAGAGAATTGAATTTAGTGGGGGGGGGAACACTAGTGAACATGAAGATCGGAAGAGCGCCGTGGGGGGGGTGTCTGTATTGAGAAATCAATTCGAGGGGGGGGGGGGGTTGAATTGAAGGATCAATTATCAGACCCGGATGCGCCAACACTTGCTTCGCAAGACAAACTCAAGGTATCCCCTAAAGGGCTACCTTTCGTGATTTGTTGAGAGCATCATATTATGTTTCAGAGGTTGGATCGCCACATGGTCGTGGGATCTCAGCTTAGAAGTATGGCCACCGAAATTGATGGCCAAAATCACCCAATGGCAGCCACTGGGCAAACTGCAGGAGACATGCTGCAACCAAAACGAGATAAACCTTCCACAGTTCGGCCTTCCACAGTTCGGTGTAACGGCGATTCGGTGAACTACACCCCCCTTCCTTGATACCAAGCAGCCAGCTGCACGAAATCTTCCCGGTCACGGCACTGATCTCGTGCGGTGCCAGGGACCCGGTATGGCAAGCGACCAAGCATCCACAGGGCATGCCTGAGAAGGCCACCGGAAACAAAACAAATCAAAACATAGCGGCCATATAGCGGCCATACAGCTAGAAATCACGTATATATTACCAATTCACTCCGTACGAATACATGGACCTGTCCTGTTTCGTTGCTGTGTCTACACACGTCATCTTTTTCATTTCATCTCGAAAAATGTGTGTTAGGAGGGTTCCAAAGGATTGTAATATGTTTGCATTGTTTCTATGTGTATACTTATTATTAGGTATATACACTAGAAAATGCCAGAGTAGTCTTTGCATCGGTCCGTGGCCCCCAACATTCGCACCTCGGCAGTTTCAAGGTTTGCAAGCGATAGCCATCCTCAGATGCACCTTCTTTCCCAAAGAGCTGGAGAGGCGTCTTGCCCCTCAAGCAAGCCTTGAGAGGCCAACATCGACGGATTTATCACGATTAATTGGAATCCGACGACTCCCAAGGACAGAAACAAGCTTAATCATCTAACCTGCCGCTCACCCTGCCACACAACACAGGAGATAGAGGTTAGCAAGATTCTTCGGTATATAATTACTATTAATTACTCCATATATCTCATTATATACAAGTCCTCCTGTGGGTGGTGAGTGAGTGAGTAAGGGCCCCCCAAAAAACAACACATCGCCATGAACAGGTTCAAGGCACCTCGAACTCCTTGATGTAGAAGGTGCTCCTGTCACTGTCCTTGTCATACACGCCGTGGCATGGCTCACAACTGTACCGCCAGCCACGCGCCCGCAGCACGTCGCGCAAGAGCGGACCGTAGTTGATCTCGCAAAAAGGCTCCGTTGGGGCGTCAAAAGCGCGCAAGTCTGACCTCAAAAGAGCGCGAGCAAAAATGCAGTGGATGCTTTTGGTGTTTTGATGAACCTCTATATGAGTCACATGAATCACTTGCAACTGTAAATCCATACAAATCCTAATCACCTACACCACAACCCAACACGATCAACTCGACCACTTCAACTTCCAACCCTCCCCCATTCACTGCACATGCCAAGTGACACGGGCCAGGCTTCACCCACCGGTTGCCCGGGACGCACCAGCTCCACTAGGCGCTCCCCACGGCGCGGCTTGACGCGGCGAAGCGTCGCTCGACTGGGCGCTCGCCTCTTGCGCAGCAGCCTCGAGCTCTCCATGGCGCTGGTGGGTGCGGAACCAGTAGAGTTCGAACTCGCGGCAGTCAGACAAGCGGCTGTACGAAGGAAAATGCTTGAGAGTTGTGTTCTATGTTCTCAGCTGAGCAATCCCAAAGGAAATCTATGCAAAGTGGATTAGGGAGTAAATACATACTAATTACCAAATTGTCGACTTTGGTGGGCGATTCTTGACTAACCACTCGCAAAGAACCGACAATAATATTCACTTCTCAATTCCGTACTCCACAACTCTGTGAGGCTCATTCTGGAGCTCCTGCAGCTTGGCAGACAGCAAGGAGACGGCCCGCTCCTAGAACGATGGAAGGTTTCAGGACAAGTTGCAGCCCTGGGGTGTTCCGCGGCCAAAGTGAGGGGGCCCTCCCTGGTGACATGGGGAAAACACCGAAAGTGAGCCAAGGCCTCCCAATGTTTCGCAAACGAAGCCACTTCAGGATGATGTATGAAAATGAAGGAACCCCAATTTGCATATTGTCTCAATTTCCTGTGCGCCTGAGACCATACAAGAACTAACTGTACAAAGCATTCCCCTGAAGGTGTTCGAATCCACTCCGCATGAAGACATTATATAAATTTGTTAGTTCTGCAGTAGTGCATCTGTATATTCAATAGTATTCAATAGTAATAATTTGTAATAAATTATGTCACCTTTTTCATACCAAAATCTGTTATAATCGACACAGCCCTCTCCGAGCGTCCAGGCCTGGTGCACCTTTGCCTCTTGCAACTGCTTTGACAAGCGCCGCACGGCCTCGAGCTCCCCCAGAGTCCGCGGAGAGAAAAACGCGTGAACAAACCACCAGCTCCCATCAGCCAAGAACGAAACACCTGAGATCACACACGGAGTACCAATGTTTCATTGAAGATCCTTGAAGCCAGGGACGCACCAGAACTGTCATTCAGGAATCACCGTGTTTCTTGTGCACAGCTGCATGCAAAGGATTCCTGGTTGCCGGACCCCGTACATGGAGCACATGCCCCGCTGCTGAGAGCTGCACAATTGATATCCTCCCATACATGCAATACAGGCAAATCATCCTCTTTCATCCCCTGTCTGTGTGGGCCCAAGGCTGGAAGGCCCCAATCCTTTGACAAAACCAACCCCTCACGCTCCACCAGCCATCGCCATGCGCGACATGCGGCTGGATGAGACCCACTTGCAGCCCGGAGCTCTTCGTAAATCTTCTCCACTCGCCGCTTGGCCGCATCGTACCTTGACAAGCACCAGGTTTTGAGAATGGTCTGACATCTGCACACAAACGTCTTGCAGGTGCACAGTGGCGCAAAAAAGGAACACGGAAAAAGAAAACAACATGTTCCACGTCCAGTTTGCAGAGTCTTGGACTTTTTTTCTGGGGAATTTGGGCCGGGGTTCTTCGCTATTGACCTTCAACAGCTTCAACGGGAATGTGCAACGCCAAAAGCAACGCTGTACACCAAAGCAGGCCAAAAGCAATGCTGAAGGCTAAGGGTGCGACGCCGTGGCTTTCTCAGCCACCTGGCGCGGAAGCAGTTTTCAACGGACGCCGTGAGTTGGGACCCGTCAACGAGTGCACCCGACCATCAGCTGTCTCCCAATGCACAGGCGTCCAAGGAAGCACACCAAGTTGGAAGGGCAGCACCAAAGTTGAGGGTACATCACCATGTTGGGCGGACATTACGTCTGACCGGGATTTTGCGCCCATGGATGTGGAGAGAAGCAAGATCAACGTCGGCAAAAACATCCAAGTCGGACCGTTTTTGAACCTGATTTGATTTGATTCTTGCCGGAAACCCACCGTGCCAGACCTCCAACTTCATGTCCTGGAGGCGTCGTGCGGTCGCAGCCTCGGCGCCGATGGTCCGGTCCACCTCGCAGACGGAGAAAGCGAGGAGTAACACATGTCCCTCTCATGAGGCATTGAGTGTTCACTATTGGGGGAGGACGTCCCATGAATTTAGATTTCAGTGCGCTGTCCAGGTCTTGAATACGATGATAACACTGCGTTATATGATGAAAACTACAGAGCTCGCATCAGTGGCTTGAGAACTCCAGACTGCTTCACTTCGCTCATGCAGGAAAAGTGACCTCTCATCATAGTAAGTATATAACCTCTTGCCTGCTCAGAAGCCCTGTGCCGGCTTTGCCAATTGGCAAACGCACGTAGTCAGCACCGACCGCAGAAGCTTGACTATGTATCAAGTGAGCAGCCTGAAAAGCATTGCAGGGAACCCTAACCGGTGACCTCCTTCCACCGATGGACTTGGACACCGCCCTCAGTGCGAAAGAGCCATCGTGAGCCGCTATGCCCTAGTGCCGTCTACTGCCCAGCTGCCGCATCGGCCATGTCCACCCTGCTTTGAACATGACCCTGCTTTAAGCATGACTGCCAGCGGCCGAAGTGTCACAGCGATATATCCATAAGTTCAACATGGTTTAACCATATCTTCAGGCCAAACCTGTTTCATGCAAATCAACACCGAGGTGGCCGAGGCGTGTTGAACACCCTCCAGCCTTAGAGTCAGTCTCCAGGAACTTCTTCTTCAACTGCTTTGCGCTCTTCATCAACGCCTTTTTGACAGGAGAACCGATGATGCTCGGGCAACACCAGTGCTCGAAGTAAATGGATCAAAGCTACTGTGAGTCTGTCGCACCCAACTTGGGTCTGCCAAGTCACCTGCATCTGCTGGTTTACCTTGGCCACCTTGACCTTAGAGGATCCAAAGGGCACTAGACCCGGTGGAGAGTGTAGTGAAGAAATAAATGTTCCAGTGAAACGCCTGGGAAGTGGAAGGCCTTTTGGCCATCCTTGAAACGCGTACGCATTCTTTCCAAAAGGCCCTCCAGCCCCTAACATCTACAACAGGGAACGCATCGAAAGCTTGGGGTCGTATGGGGTCCCTTTGCAACCAAGCTGCGGCCTCTCCAGCCTGAACACGAGTGATGGCCTTCTGGAGAACGTTCAGTTCCTCAGAATGGGAGAACGTGACATCTTCGGATCACCTGAGGATCCCAACTCAGTCCGACCTCAGCCAAACTCAATAGTTAAGGCATGTTAAGGCTGAATAGGCTCACGGTTGGACTCTGCAAAGCCTAAATGCCCGACCCAGTCCTCGCAACTTTCAACTGCAAACACTTCTATATACACTTCACCTGCAACTTCGTATTGCATGTCTTGCCTTCGCGCACTGTAGAATAATGATCACATCAGGCTGCAGTGCCCAGCACCAAATAGATTCAGCCATTGGAACCCGTTGGAGTCCCAGTGTTTCCTATGACTCCGAAGTGTTGAAATAGAATGGAACCAATACCTATTATATACTAACGTATTACATAAATGACCCCGCTTTGAAGACTCTTCATATCTCTTCATAACCTCTGCATGGCCAATGGCCCCTTTCTTGTGCCGCATTTCAATGGACGATTTGATGCCTGTCAAAAAATGTCACCTTCCGTGCAAGTGTTTTGGGGAGGTCTGTATGAGTCATAATTACTGTACAGCCCCGAAAAACGTCAACAACACAGCTTCACCATCATCCCTGGGCCGCGCCACGGAGGAGGACTGGCGGATGGCCTCTGAAGCTCCGGTCTTCACGGTCTGAATCTCCGTGGTCAAACCTTGGAAGCAGCGCCACTCGCGTGAGTCGGTGGCCTGGGGGGGTTCACACGTTTGGGTGCACAGGAGTTGAAATGCACCAGTGACATGCACTCGGAACAACAAATCTAGAGGATTTACATCGATGATATTGCAAGATCGGAAGGGGCCCATCACAGGGCTGATGAAACAAGACAACTTTTTGTTCCCCGAAGTGATGCCTCAAACATGTGTGTCCACTTTCTACTTCAGCGGCTTAAAGTGTGTTGGTCATTTGGGCCAAGCTCTCAAGCACAGTCTATACTGTAAATATCTATACGATTGCACGCCAAAACTGCTTGCACCATTTGCAGCAGTTACAGGCTACATTGCTAGAGTCCAAAGTCCTGAAGACGGTCCTAAGACGTCCTGAGTCTCCAGCGTGACTCGGCTGCGGCATGCGCTTGACTTCGTTCTTGGGTCTGACGGCGTTGAGCTTGCAACCGGGCCTGAAGTGATAAGGTGTGATAAGGCGGAACGGGAGTTGTGCACTGGTTGCAAAAGGCTCATACAAGGCCAAAACTTCAAAACGAAAGAACCGCATCCCGTTAATAGCTGATCCGGCTTGTCCTCAACATTTCTCAACCAATCTTGTCCCAAAAAGGAACTGCTTGAGACTTGTGGTCTCAGATCAGCAGCTCTGTGTCCAAATCATCTATCACAGTGTCTCAAACCTCCGAGCCCAGCCACCCCACAGCCAAGCCCACCATTTGCGCCACCTGCCCCCCGCCCACAGCCGCCGAGCCGCTCGAGCCATGGTCTCCTTGGCGTGAGCCGAGAAAGTGGTGGCCATGTGCTTCGCGCGGAACTCCTTCAGCATCCTGGGCGAAAACATGCTGCGTTGCGGTCAGGTCAGCGAAAACAAAGTTAAGCTGGATGCTGTCTATTCTTGGTGAACTCTTTCTATAGCTCGGCGGGTGAACATATCGTCATATTGTTATATCATGTCATATCGTGGCTCATTGCAGCTGCATGCTGACACAACATCTTGACCGTTTGCCACATTGTCCCTTGCTCAGCCATGGTCCAAATCTTCATCTAAACCTAAACCATTCTAAACCTTCCTTCCAACCATTTGGTGGGGACACCTACTACTGGCTACAGGAAGGTCTTTTGGGAAACGTCTCCACATTAATGGTCAAAGATGGTCAAAGTACATAAATCCGCCCGAGCAGGCCTGGCTTTCTTGGCGGCTTCGGCGGACTGCTCCTGGGACCAGGAATACGGGAGTTGCAACCATCATCCCCGAGAATAGGAGTCATGATGAGTCATGAGGGTTTCTTTTTGAACATATGCGATGCGCCATTCCGACATCAATGGGGATGGAAAAGACATGAAAAGAATGTATACCCAATGACGCTAGTAGGTTGGGGCCATTGCTAGTACTTTCAACTATGGGCCTGGCCTGCAGAGATATATACATCCGAAGCACCCAGTCATCAGTGATGGCTTGTGATGACGTCATGACCAAAAT